TAGAGACGGGGTTTCACCATGTTGACCAGGATGGTCTCGATCTCTTGACCTCGTGATCCACCCGCCTCGGCCTCCCAAAGTGCTGGGATTACAGGCTTGAGCCACCGCGCCCGGCCCGATAAAGAAAAAATTCTAAAAACCACCAGGGGTGGGGGTAAATCACCTACAAGAAACAAGAATCCGAATGGATTTCACTCTTCAGCTGTTACACTGAACACAGAGAGACAACAGGGTGATGTCTTCAAACTTCCAAGGTAAATTGTTTTCAATCTAGAATTGTAGAGTCAAACCATCAATGGCATGAGAGGGTAGGCTATAGAACTGTCAGATGCTCCAGTTCTCAGAGGATTTGTTTCCTACTGCTATGTCAGGAATTACCATAGAAAGTGAGGAGATAATCCAAAACAATACATGTAGAAGAACATCTCAACATAAGCCCTCTTCATTATTAGAAAAGAACATTTTATTCAGCTCTTCCTGTACTTTTTGCCTACAGGCTGACTTTTTGTCTTAAAATGCTAACTGGTGAAATTCCAGAGCCTGGCCAAGATGGTGAAACTCCGGCTCTACTACAAATATAAAAAAATCAGCCATGCGTGGTGGCAGGCACCTGTAATCCCAGCTACTCAGGAGGCTGAGGCAGGAGAATTGCTTGAACCTGGGAGGTGGAGGTTGCAGTGAGCTGAGATCATGCCACTGCACTCCAGCCTGGGCAACAGAGCAAGACTCTGTCTCAAAAAAGAAAAAAAAAAAACAGCCAAGATGGAGTCACTTTTGCCTCCACACCAACTGTCCATGGAAACGAGTGGGTTTTGTTTTCCAGAAGGAGTGGATGTTCTTTATAACAGCGGATGAGATTTTAAAACAAAAACAAAAAGCAGTCTGGAAGGAAGAGAAGGAGACATTTGGAGAAGCATTTCTACGGGTGAGAGGTCCTTGTCCTCCCCTCTCCCACCGCAGGGGGCAGGAGACACCCACAAGACTCCCATGAAGTGAAGGCCTTCAGGAGGACCCTCTCAGAGTTTAGCTATGATTTCAGAAGCAGGTAAAGGGGGCCGGGCGCGGTGGCTCACACCTGTAATCCCAGCACTTTGGGAGGCCGAGGCGGGCGGATCACCTGAGATCGGGAGTTCAAGACCAGCCTACCAACTAGGAGAAACCCCATCTCTACTAAAAATACAAAATTAGCTGGGTGTGTTGATGCATGTCTGTAATTCCAGCTACTCGGGAGGCTGAGGCAAGAGATCGCTTGAACCCGGGAGGTGGAGGTTGCAGTGACCCAAGATCGCGCCATTGCGCTCCAACCTGAGCAACAAGAATGAAACTCCATCTGAAAAAAAAAAAGAATTCTGTGTTCACCCCAGCACGAAAGTGAAGGAATGTAGTTGCAATGATAGTGGTGGTTCAGTATTCCATCTATTCAAGTCAACCAAAAAAGAATATGGAATATAGAAAAATATAGAACCCAAGAAATATGGGCTGTGAGTTCAATCCCATCTGGAGAGCATGGATTTAGCAACTAGAAAGGATAGAGAACTTCTCCCTGTGGCTCCAGGAAAATTATTCTAATGATGTGCAGCCCAGACCCCACATCCAGTGTCAGAACGCTGTCCAGCAAGTAGCCCCAGGCAACACCTGGCAACCCCAGCGGACACAGATGTGAATGCTTTTCCTTCAGTAAAGTGTATTCCAAACCTAGGAAGGTGTGAAACTAAATATATAGGCGGTGAAGTAAACCTAACATGTAGTATTAATACATCTGTGCTAAATTTAAGAGCAATCTATATTTGGTATTGTAATGTGTAAGAAAATTCAGCATACTAAAGATTTGGAATTAGCCTGAGATAACAAATCAAAACATAAAATGAAGTACTTGATTTTAGATTTGTGGTTTCTTTTTCAGTTGAAAGGTATGAAATAATTTGATGAGGTTTGTAAACAATATTGGAATGTTGATGAGACCTTGAGATTCCTTGTGAATATTAATTTGCCTTAGTTACTTAGTTTTTGATTGTTAAAATCAAATCCCTAAAATACACCAAATGTGTAAACTCAATTTAAAATGTTTCTAGGCATTTAACTGCATGGTGAATGAAACTGATTATTTAAGAGAGTTTTGTGTCTTTGATTTTCATTATTATGCATTAATCAGTGAGAAAGTAAAGTTGGTGGCTCTTATTTAGCACAATTTATTAAAAGAATAATTACTGCAGGGCCCGGTGGCTCACACCTGTAATCCCAGCACTCTGGGAGGCCGAGGTGGGTGGGTCACCTGACGTGAGGAGTTGGAGACCAGCCTGGCCAAAATGGTGAAACCCCATCTCTAATAAAAATACAAAACATTAGCCAGGTACGGTGGCAGGCACCTGTAATCTCAGCTACTCTGGAGGCTGAGGCAGGAGAATCATTTGAACCCAGGAGGCAGAGGTTGCGGTGAGCCAAGGTTGTGCCATTGCACTCCAGCCTGGGTGACAAGAGTGAAACTCTGTCTCAAAAAATAATAAATACGTTTTTTTGTTTGTTTGTTTGTTTGTTTTGAGACAGAGTTTCGCTCTTGTCACCCAGGCTGGAGTGCAATGGCACGATCTCGGCTCACCACAACCTCTGCCTCCCAGCTCAAGCTTTTTTTGTGCCTCAGCCTCCCAAGTAACTCGGAATACAGGTATGTGTCACCACACTTGGCTAATTTTGTGTTTTTAATAGAGATGGGGTTTCTCCATGTTGGTCATGCTGGTCTCGAACTCCTGACCTCAGGTGATCTACCCGCCTTGGCCTCCCAAAGTGCTGGGATTATAGGCATGAGCCACCGCGCCTGGCGAACAATTACGTTTATAAGCTGAACTTACAAGAAGCTTAAGGAAAACTAGGTTTAAAATGTACTTTAACAAACTGACTATTAATTATTTTAAGGAAACAAAATGGTAACAGTCCATTTGGTACACAAGTACCAGCATGAACATGAAAAACTCTCCCTGACTTTAGGATCTACATGCCAAAGGGCAGTGTCCAAGGGGCCGCCTGAGAGAGTGCCCACCCGTGCCAAGACCACCTGCAGCAGAGCCACCCTGAACTCCCCTTTTGCCAGGCAAGTGGACAGGGCAGAAACGGACAGGCCCCCAGTGCCAGTCTGAGAGGCCCTGAGGCCAAGAAGGTGGGCTTCCTGCCCTGTCCAGCGTGTCTCCACATCAGGAAGCTCTGTGCCCACCCCCTGCCACTCCCTCCTCTCTTTCTTCCCTGCTCTCTTTTTCTCCGTGGTACTCGTCACCATTTGATAACGAATGTCATATATTTAGGTTGTTATCTTTCTGCACATACAGGCAGGCACTGCGACAGCAGGGACTTTGTCTCACTCAGTCCTAAATCCCCAGCATCTAGAAAGGTCCCCGCGCTTGGTCTGCTCCCAATCATTCTGTGCTGTGTGAAGGCACGGATGGCCTCTGCTCCTGCTCTGTGTCTCCCTCCCAGTCTGAA